TAATGCTTTGGAAGATTCAGGCCAGTTATTTTATAGACTCTCAAATTACTTTTGTTTTGATATGTCCTCACAATTAGATTCAGGTCTTATAGCAGCAGGACTATCATAGAAATAATGCTGTGTTCTCATTACACCCTGTCAGGTGGCACATGATTTTCATTTGCCCCATTCAAGGTGATATAATCACCATGATCACTTACTAAGATTGTGTCTGCCACATTTTTACACTGTAAAATTACTCTTATTTCCCCTCCTTTTGTAATCAATAAACATTGGAAAATGAGAGTCTTTGAAACCAAGCAAATATCCCATTCTGCATAAAACTTTCAGTTTCTATATTTATTTATTAATATCATTATGGAGTTTACATCTCCTTCTTTCTGTGTATAATTACTTTGTTCCACAGTTAATGGTATTTATATAATTATATTAGAAATACTTTGCAATATCCGTAAGCAGTTGTTGGACAAAAATACAGAGCACATTTTTCAAGTTACATTATAGCTTCAGAAAAGAATGTAAATGATACAGCTTTTGCAATCCTGTCTGTTTTGAGTCCTCAAAATTTCTAGTCTACTGATAGCACTCTTATTTTTCATTTATGTAGTTATTTATTTTAAAAATTCTACCATTTTTCTCATTTCACTTTGGAAGAAGGAAAGGTAGATTGGAATACTCAGTCCATCATCTTAAACTAGAAAGATAAACCATGCATATGTTTTAAACATAAAAAAGAAAAATAGAACTACAGCAGCAAAACAGGAAGATGTCCCTTTTCTTACTTCTTCTCTACTCCTTCCAGTCTAGGACTGGTTAAGCAGGAGCAGCATCCTTATTTATAGGGATCAGGCTTATAGATTATTTAAAACAATTTTTTTTTAACATTTATTCATTTTTGAGAGACAGAGCATGAGCATGGGAGGGGCAGAGGAAGGGAGACACAGAACCCGAAGCAGGCTCCAGGCTCTGAGCTGTCAGTACAGAGCCTGACGTAGGGTTCAAACCCATGAACTGTACATCATGACCTGAGTCGAAGTCAGATGCTTAACCAATTGAGCCACCCAGGCACCCCATATGAATTATTTTAAAGCTAGGAAGGCACTATCATTTAAGATAAGATTTCAAAAGAAAGGTATTCAAATACCATGTGTTTAAATTTCTTTTTTTTTTTTTTTAATTTTTTTTTTTTCTCTAAACATGGATTATTTTGGGACAGAGAGAGTATTGAACGGGAGGGGCAGGGTATGTTGTAATCGAGTTTCAGGCTCCAGGCTCTGGTTACCAATGTTTGGTTTTACGCTGCCTCAACTCATCGACCGCCGAAAGGGATCCTGCCGGAAGTCAGATTTTCAATCGAATGTGCCACCCGTGTTTCAAATTTCATTGGAACATTTGATTATTCTTGAGCTGGTTTATGCTTTCTTGTTTTTAAAAGAATATATCAGAATTCACTTTTAGAATATATATCTGTATCTGCCTTTAAACCTTTTTTTGACAAGTTACTTTTTTTTCTAGATAGTGTACTTTTCCCAACACTGGTGCTCAACATCATGATAAATTAGCGGTCCAGCCTAGGCCTGGAATGGTGGCTGAGATGATAACGAAGACACCTATAAGATCATGGCATGACATTGAAAAGACAATGCCAACAGTATAAAAAAGGGAAATGTAAAGGTAATTTGTTAAGTTTTTAGAATAGGTGTGTCACTGATGGAAGAGTGACGACGATACTTTATATAAGAAATCTGATATTGTGGGAAGTCTGATGCTGTAAATTACCGGCTCGAACTGGTAAATATCTCTTTTTTTTTGACAGTTTCGCTACACTTTTCGTTGTAAAATATTTAAAGATTCTAATAGTAGCACCAGTAGGTAACTTTTTTTTTTTTTTTTGTGGCTGGTATTTTTTTTTCCTTTTCCCAATAAGTGTCTCTTTAAAGATTATTCTAGAAACCGCTTTTTTTTATTCAATGCTAAAGAATATCTTTTCTGTTTCCGGTGAAGGTGTTCTTTTCCAGTTTTTTTCATTTGTAAGAGGCTTCCCTCTGTGGATATGTATTTTTGCCCTGAGGGTGAATTAGTCCATCATTGACTTAAGAAAGTTGCCTTTCTGTTCATGGAAACTTAATTTTATTTGAGTTTGTGTTAGTACATTTTCTGCCTTTGATCATTTATTCTCGAATTGTCTCTTGCTGTTAGTGTTCCTTTTAAAAAAATTCTCTGAGTTTACAATTTTAGTTTAGTTGTACCATATGGGTTACTAGTAGAATAATAATATTTTTAAAAGTGTAAATAATAATATAATTTTTGTCAATTATTACTGATTTTTTTTCCTGCCGATTTCTTTTGAGGTTGGTGCTTTTCTAGAGGTTCAAAATGGTATTTTATTTTTGTCTTACAGCTTTTGTTAGTGCTTGTCATAGGTTTCTTGTGCTTTTGTTATCTGGTGGACTGCTGGGAAAAAGAGTCTTCTTCTACTATGTTTATGTAAGAAGAGTAAGAGATATATGTTGTTAATTTTTCCTAGCTTTTGGAATTTTAGAGTTTATTAGAATGTTTCAAAATGTGAAAAATAGACTTATAGAAGTTACTGTATCAATTTTATGAGGAGTTTTCTATTATAAAAATTAGAATTCATAGCACACTTAAATTATTATTATGGGTTATAGTTTTAGGCATTTTTTTTACTTTTTACTTTTGATTCTTATGGGAAAAAAGTTTATTTTAATGAGTTTATATTATCGATTTGATTTGATTTAAAAAATTCAGCATTTTTTGAAGCATTGGCTAACGAGTTTGCCGCTTAAATTCAATATCATATATGTTATGATGATATTCATGCTCAGGCGTTAGATCAGACAGGTCTCCCTGGAGATGAAATGTTGTCCCAACCTGTCATTTGGGGGTATGTATTTAAATTTTTGTGTTTTGAATATAGGCTAATACTCATTTACAAAATATAGACCAATAATGCCAGGGAAAAAACAGCCATCACTGCAGGCCACCCAGGACAACAGTTTTTATACGCTTTCAGTAAAAGCTCATCATCACATTTTTTCTAAAATTCAGTTATAAATACAAGCCTTTGTTTGAGTGCCCATCTGATGTCCTGCAGAATATTGTTTTGGTTATTGTAGAGCTTTTTG